ACCCGTAACGCCTTCAAGTATGAACTATGCTAGTGTACTATTTGTTTTCTTTGGTGGAATTAGTGTCCTATGGTATATTGTATGGGGAAGAAAACATTTCACGGGGCCACCAGTAACCGTAGCAGAAGAGACATCTAATTCAAAATAAGTTAAAATAATAATTAATGAACATAAATACTTATATTTACTAATCTTTTGTTGAATAATACAAATACTAACAAAAATCTTTATGACATACGTAAAATAAAGAAACTTTATTCATTAATTAATTTAGAGAAATAAATAAAAGAAAATAATATTTTTATGGTTCACATACATTTAAAAAAACTCCAATATTTGAATTACCCCAATTAATAACAGCAACATCATCTTTATTATCACCATTAAAATCATTAATAATAATATTATGTGGCTCATCTCCAGTTGAATATCGCATTTCATGTAGAAAATCTCCATCACCTATACCAAGATAAATACTAAAAGAATGACTATTACTATTGGTAACAACAATATCTTTTGCATTATCCTTATTAAAATCACCAATGGCAACATCATATGGATTGAAACCTGTTGAGATTTTTTTTTCTTGTTTAAAAGACCCATTACCAAATCCAAGAAAAATACTAATTGTATTATCACCATAATTAACTATAACAAGATCTTTTTTATTATCTTTATCAAAATCACTAATAGCAATTGAAAATGGTGAAAGGCCTGTCAAAAATATCGTTGGTTTTGCAAAACTTCCATTACCATACCCAAAAAAAATACTTGCACTATGATGAAAATAATTTGTAACAACAATATCTTTATGATTATCATTATTAAAATCATCAACAACAACTCCAACTGGTAAAGAAATAATTGTATATGTTGTTAGTAATGAAAAATTTCCATTACCATAATTAAGATAAATTCCTATATTATTATGTCCATCATGAGCAACAACAAAATCAGATAAATTATCATGATTCAAATCACTTATACCAACCCAATCTGGAGTTATATCAGTTGATAAAATTATTTCATTTGTAAAACTACCATTTCCATAACCATAATGTATACTAATTGTATTATCCATTGAATTTGAAATAACAAGATCTAATTTATTATCATTATTAAGATCATGTAGAGTAAGTCTTTGTGGACCTCTTGTAGTCTTAATTTTTTCTTGTGTTGGAAATTCCCCATTCCTATTACTAAGAAGTATACTAATCGTATCACTGTCATGATTACTAACAATAATATCCATTCGATTATCATTATTAATATCACCAGTAACAATTCCCATTGGACCATAATCTACTGTATATGTAGCCATATTTGGAAATGAAAATTGACATAATTCTAAATTAAACTTCATTAGAAACTTATGGTAAGAAAAAATGACTTAATTCACATTGAACTAAGATTTATTTTCTTACCAATTGGTGCTTGTGCTGCTGTTGTCGTTGTTGAAACTTCTTCATTTGTTTGCTTCGTTGTACTATCGATTATTGATACTTCTCTATCTGCTTGTCTTGCTGTGTTATTGATTATTGGTGCTTCACTTGCTAAAATTTTTTTATTTTTATAAGAAAGTTTAATTTTTTTATAGAAAACTTACATTTTAATGAACATAAATTAATCCATAGTAATGGTAAACAGATATTCTTTGATAAACAACATGAATTAACTACACATACAGATGTATTTGATGCACATTCACCGGTTATAGGATTACATAATTCGACATTTGAACAAATATTCTTAGGTGCGCAAAAGCTTACATCATTACTTGTATGAGAATCAAAACAAGATATATTAGATGAATAAGAATTATTATTAGGATTTTGATCAGATTTTAATACAAAAAATTGTGAATAATTTATATGAGCAATAGGAAGAAACACAAAGATAAAACTTAGTAATATAATTAATATTAGTAGAATTATAGTCTTAGGATTGATTGATTCTATCTAGAAAATATATATTTAAATTACATCTTTTAATAAAATAATATTAAACAAACCATGAATAATTATGAAGAAAATAGTCAAATAAAAGCTTTCTAGTAACTGTGCCGTGTATATTTAACCAACAATTTAATTGTAGAATGAAAAATATGAAAAAAAAATTTTTTTTCGTTTGACTCTCGCTTCTTTTTATATTAATAGAGAAAAAAAAACGTTGTTTATTTAATCAAATGCATGGCAAGAGAATGAATAAAAAAAAGAGTTTAAATTATTGTGAAAGAGAAAACTTCTAGATAAGCATGTGTTGAGAATAATAGAAGACATTTATTTTTAAATCTGATTTATTCAAGAACAAATAACAACAAGACTTTTTTCCAGTAAAACATAAATACACAAACGATACTATAATATTGAAATGTTTTTCATTCAATTCGTTACCCAACTAAACAACATTTAGTATGATCATTGTAATGTCTATTATCTTTAGATGAAAATCTATCGAATTATATAATACATCGGCGTGTTCTTAACGGAGCAAATACTCGCATGTTGTTCATTTCATAAGTTGATCGTGGTCCATCAGAAGATTGCTCTCGTCGATTTTGACAAGACTGCAGTGTGGAAATCATTAGTATTTTACATTTTTGAATAAGTCGACGTAATTCATTTCGAAATGCTGTACCCGATAGACAATAAACATAGAAGTTCAATGAACAATTAATTAAAATCGATAATAAAACCCACCATGATTCATGTGCTTCGACAATAGTAAAATGTCCAGTAATATGTAAAAGCAATGATGCAAGAAAAAGAGAAGAATGAAGAATAAGAACAATATTCATCCATGAAGTAGTACGTGATTGTTTTTTGCGTAATTTATAAATAGATCTTGCATGTAAACGACGATGTTTAGATACAAGACAGTACACTATATAGGTATTAAAGAAAATAATCGCTCCAGTTGGAAATAATTCTGAGAAAACACAACGTATGGTAAAATGATTCATACCAAGATGAATTTCATGAAAATATAATTGCCATTTAATAGATACATTTCCATGTAGATCACAATACATTTTATTTAGTGTTGAGTTTAATATATCATTACTAGAATAATGAATGGAATGATACATATATATATATATATATATATATATATATTAGAATAAGTTACCTAATTATTTGTGGCTGATACATATAAACAGGAGGTAAAATAACACAGCTAAGAATAATAATCATCATTACAACTGGAACGATAAACTTGATTTTATAGGGTTCACATCGTTCAGAGAGTAATCTTAATTTTCTCGACACACATGTTAAACGTTCAAACATCCAGAATAATGTTATCCATGATGATATCACTCGAAAAGAAAAAGAAAATTCATAAAGTTTACAAGCCCACCATTTATGACCAACTAAATCATGTAAAGTATTTCGTGATGTTGAATGTAAAACAATTGTATATCGTAACATACAAAAAACATTTATTATTGAACTGGAACTAGCAAAAAAAGTATAGGTCGATGATATTCGCCATGAACGTCGAGATGAACAAAAGATAAAAAGTCCTAATGTATTTCCAATAATTCCCAA